CGTTATTTATTTACAATCTATTATCAAATAAAATTAAATATATATATCATATATAAAACATCATTTAATACAATGTATTAATGATTTAGTAGAGGTATACAAGGTATTATGCACCGAGATTCACGGTTGACCTTGTATTACAGTATGTATGCTTGAGCGCTGGGTCCTCTCCGCCCCTATATCGAAAAGGGTTGAACGTATAGAGAAGAAGTTAGGACAAAAGTTGTGGCAAATTTTTGTATCTTTAATTTTCATAATAGGTGTTGAAGTCATTGGAACCATAGAAACGGAGATAATTGCGAAAAACAGATTTTCGTGACCTTTGACCTCAAATAACTTACAACGCAGACACGAGATAATATGAGACTTTTAAGACAACTTAAGAACGCCAAAATCAAGCTGTACACGAGTTTCCAGTTTATTATCTCAAATTCCGAGGTGAAACCCTAAAGTGACTGGACTAGTTCCTAGTAACATAATGAACTTTTATTTTAAACATATGACAGTATTCTCTGAAGAGGTTATTATCGAATTCAGTATCGTTGTCGCAAGTTATTTGTGACGGATAATTATGATAAGCGAAATAATGTCTAATTTTGTTTAGTATAGGGTGACCTGTCCAACAGTTAACCACTTGTACACAATCAAACATGCCCATATTTGGCAAACATGACGTAACTATTTCGTGCAACCACGCGATTTAGATGTAAAAACGGCTATACATCCCTTTGCCCAGTTTACAGCGACCTAGCGCGAGTGTCAGTTGTGTGACATCAAATTTTGAGTTTTTTAGTGAAAAAAGTTAAAAAAATAAGGTGAGTACTTTTTCTCTTAGTTTCATTTGGTTTGATTTTACAATAATCATTATTTGTCGAGTATGTTGAGTGACTCAAAATGCTTTATTTGGTATATACATTATGTGTGTAGTGACGTTTATTTAAATGTGAAGTAATCCCAACGGCTTTGGGAGCAGTGTGGTCTACAATTAATCAAATACAGTTGTTACACAGTTAATCATGGTTGACTGTGTACCAACTCCGGTTAGTTGTGTACCTCCATAATTTTGTCATGTTTGTTTGTAAACTTTTTAATGTATTGTATACCTACAGATTGCCGAATTTTTTTTTTAAATTTTATTTGCATTCTAGATGGGGCGTACTAAGCAGCAAGAAAGAAAGAAAGGAGGGCATTCAGCAGACACTATGAAGAAGGCTATTGAATTAGTCCATGGTGGGATGAGCATAAGGAAGGCTGGTAAAGAATGCCAACTTAGTTACCCAACAGTCAGATTATATGTGAAAAGATCCAATGAAAATGCTGGTTAACCAATACGTTTAACACCACACTACGAAGTCAACAAAATTTTTACATTAGAAGAAGAAGATGACTTAGTAAAATATATTGAACATTGTGCTGAACTATTTTACGGTCTCACTGCTAAAGATTGTCGACGCATTGAATACCAAATGGCTAAAGTAAACAACCACAATATACCGCAATCATGGATACATTCAGAAATAGCTGGATGTGAGTGGCTTCGTGCATTTAGAAAAAGATATCCTGAAATTTCCCTGAGAAAACCAGAGGTTTGTAGCTTGGCCAGGGCCACTGCTTTTAACAAACATAATGTTGAGTCCTTTTTCCGCAATTTAAAATCTGCCATGGAAAGACACCCCTGCTTTGCAGATGGTACTAGANAAGGGAAGTCGTTCGGGGAGGCCCTCCCTAATTCCACAAGGGTGAGAAGAAACACACACGATAACGAAACGTTGAATCATGTAGAACTCGTAGGGTAAACGCAAAGCAAATTAGGAAGAATATGCAGTAAGCTAAGCAAAGAGGTAAGCAAGGTTAGACTATACTACAACTACTAAACGTGTTATTTTTACTACTACACTACTACTACATACAAAAAAAAATAAAAACATCTACAATCAACAATTACTTTAAATAAAATGAAGAAATATAAGCATGCAAAATAAAAACTAATTCAAATTAATTACAAAAAACTACAAAATAAAAGATTTATTTGAATTTGGACTAAATGAATTATTTCTATTAGATAGAGCATGCAAGATAAAAGAACTATTTTAACTACGGGGTTTTGTTTGTCTTCTCCAGCGTCGATCTGAAACAGATACGATGGTAACAGATTAATAAAGACCAATTAAAATTAAATGTATCAAGTATTCTCACCTTAATTAATTGTAGACTGTAACGTTCCAAAGTTTGCAGGTGTGGAAAGCAAACCAAATCCACAAGGAACACCATAGTAAAAAATTTGTTTTTACCGAGGAATTCAAATAAAGCTCCAATTGCTCTCACTCATCGGTTGAAAATTAACTGCATAATGTTGCAAGGTGCAGACGAAAACATCAAATCAAGATATAGACCAAGAAAGACGTACATGTAGCTATTGGCTGTTTCAGTAGGACCAAACTGAACATTAATTCTCTCTCATTAGTTCGACAACCTGCAGAAATAGACAAAAAGACATATTAATTACACTATTAATTAAGAAACACCTTTAACATAACTAAAAACGCACCAAAAAGTAAGTAAAACATGATAAGTGTTACTTCCACGCCATTTTACATCGCAACCATAGATCACGACATAGAAAAATGTCAAATAACACGACATCAATTTATAAAGCGGATAATAGATACACATTCAAATGAAATATAGCAAAATCACTCAAGGAAATGTTAACTAACAATAGAGTATTTAGAATTCACTGAGCATACTACAAACCATAGATAAGTATTAGACGTATAAAACTCCAATCAAGTAGTGTCTAGATTGTATTCAAACAGTTCAACCGTCACTTTTTGTCTATGTGAGTATATAGCGGTACTATTAATAACTGAAACATCTATAATTTCGTTAAAAGAGCGTATAAATAAATGGTTTTGTTGGATTAAATTACCTTTTGTTAATTTGCCAAAAAAAAATTGTAGTTCTTCCAACTCATGGTAGTAGTTGAAATATATCTTACAAGTCATGTGTGTCTATGGACATAAGGACTACTAGCTCTAAACTCAAACAATTTATCGTGGTTAGGTTGACGTTTTAAGAAAGTATTTGAATAAAAATATGTGTAGCTTAAAATTTTGAGTACTTATCCTCTCCGGAACTAAGATCACCCTTTTGAAGCAACATTTAACTGTGTTTTTCTAAAAAGATAGTAATGACAATGTCTGAAGGTCAGCTAAGTACTCTTCAAGAAGAAGCTTTAAAGAGAAAGGAACGATTAAAAGCACTAAAAAGAAAACGAGAAAGTGAAAATAACAATGACAAACAATCAGAAGGACAATTTTTAAATTTACCAAAGTCAGTAATTTACTTCCATTCATTTACAAAGTCCATGTATTGTTTTAAAGTGTGTTTTTCCAATATAGTTTAGAAAACTTAAAGCTAAAACACAGTTATATTTTTACACAAATTTCTTTTCAGGCCGAAATTTAGAAGCTACAAACCTCAAGACGAAGAACTACAAAAAAATGCACTTCCCCTGATAGTTCCTGACTCTGTGGAGGATGAAATTAAAGAACAATTACAGTCTTCAAATGCAAAAGTTGTTATAGATGAACTTGACATTACTAGTTTAGCTCCTAGAAAACCTGACTGGGATTTAAAACGAGATGTGGCAAAAAAATTGGAAAAACTAGAAAGAAGAACTCAAAAAGCTATAGCAGAACTGATAAGAGAACGTTTAAAAAAAAGACAAGCTGATTTAGCAACTATTGCAACTTCAGAACCTGCGCAACCCGAGTAATTTTTGTAGACATAAGAAGTAATATATGTTTTTGTAAGGAATAGTTTTTTTAATAAAGTACCTTTAAATATTTACATTTTTATTACTATATACAAGAACGGTATCTAAACGAGACTTAATTCAAAACGTTCACAGTTTTTGTTTTGTTACATGTTTAATAATAGTAAAATAAGGAAATAAGATGCCTGATGTAATTTGAGCCCTTATTCTATACTAATATTTAGCATTGAGGGTTTCAGAAAGTCATTTATCATTTTCCATTTATTTAGCAAATTTATCTTTTACTAAAAAAGGGTATTCTAGTAGTCAATTCTTTTTGAACCAGTCTAAGCAAATTCGACTTTAGTTTCCCAATNTAGGAGAGCATAAGTCGAACAAGGTCTTTTTTAAATTCGGAAAATTTGGTTACTCCATTACTTTCTGACCAGCCCTCGTATATGACGCAAAACTGAAAATTATGTTAAATTTGAAAATTTGTATTAGGAGAGCATAAGTGGAATAAGGTCTTTTTTTAAGCTCGGGCTTTTAGCGCGGGATCCACTTTATATAGCAGTTTTTCCTTTATTTTTTAACAGTTCAGCTCCTAAGCGCAAGAGGGCATTTGTTGGTAACAAAATTAAAGTAATTTCCAGGATTTAATTGTGGATTATCTTTCTTAGCAAAAGATGGTGTTTCTATTAAGTAAATGAAACGAAAACTTATTTTGTATTTTTCTACTTCAGATTCTTTACAGTTTAACCAACATTTCTTTTATGAAAAATTACTTTTAAATTAATACTATTTGTAATAAAAACAACATTTATAGATTGTCAAGTACTAATTTTATTAACAGACAAGTCGATACACTTTTATTTGTTGAAAAAACAGTATTTTTAATTAAGGAATAAGTTACATTAACAATTTCTTAACGTTTCCAATTATTTGTAATTCATTAAAAATCCATAAACTGTTTTATTAACATTTAAACACAATATTTGGAAGAAAAATGCTCCCTAACTCTTTGTGGCCTCCACATCTCCCCTTATAGCCACCCTATCCTCCAAAATGAACAAAATTTATGAAAGTTTAGTAAGTTTTAACAAGTGATCTAATCTGATACATAAATAAATAAATAATATTTAATTTGGTAGCAACAATTATGACAAAAATCAATTTAGAAAAGCTTTACCTATTATTACTAGTTTACATTATGTTAATAAAACAGTTTTCAGAGTAAAAAACAAAATACCTGTAAGAAAAAGACAAGAAAACAAATGAAATTACATGGAAAAAATACCTGAAAGAGAAATACAAGAAAACAAATGAAATTTCAAAGGAAATACCAAAAGTAAGCAAAAAATACGATGTCTTCGTTCTTCTTAGGAATTACCTCATTATCTGAAAGCAAATAGTGCAATTACAAGGACTAACGACAAATACTAATAGCTTTGGTAGAGAAGATCGGACAGATTTCGCCAAGGCAAGCTGGGCAGTCGCCTATTGCTCCTATTCCAGATAACCCACTGTACCCTGTCTGAAAGGAAGTAACGCTAGAGTAGACTCGCGAAAAGTGTATAAGACACTTTTAAGATCAACTAAATAGCTAAGCCCAAGGGAAGTCGTTCGGGGAGGCCCTCCCTAATTCCACAAGGGTGAGAAGAAACACACACGATAACGAAACGTTGAATCATGTAGAACTCGTAGGGTAAATGCAAAGCAAATTAGGAAGAATATGCAGTAAGCTAAGCGAAGAGGTAAGCAAGGTTAGACTATACTACAACTACTAAACGTGTTATTTCTACTACTACACTACTACTACATACAAAAAAAAATAAAAACATCTACAATCAACAATTACTTCAAATAAAATGAACAAAAATAAGCGTGCAAAATAAAAACTAATTCAAATTAACTACAAAATAAAAAATTAATTTGAATTTGGACTAAAAGAATTATTACTATCAGATAGAGCATGCAGTATAAAAGATCTATTTTAACTACGGGGTTTTGTTTGTCTTCTCCAGCGTCGATCTGAAACAGATACGATGGTAACAGATTAATAAAGACCAATTAAAATTAAATGTATCAAGTATTCTCACCTTAATTAATTGTAGACTGTAACGTTCCAAAGTTTGCAGGTGTGGAAAGCAAACCAAATCCACAAGGAACACCATAGTAAAAAATTTGTTTTTACCGAGGAATTCAAATAAAGCTCCAATTGCTCTCACTCATCGGTTGAAAATTAACTGCATAATGTTGCAAGGTGCAGACGAAAACATCAAATCAAGATATAGACCAAGAAAGACGTACATGTAGCTATTGGCTGTTTCAGTAGGACCAAACTGAACATTAATTCTCTCTCATTAGTTCGACAACCTGCAGAAATAGACAAAAAGACATATTAATTACACTATTAATTAAGAAACACCTTTAACATAACTAAAAACGCACCAAAAAGTAAGTAAAACATGATAAGTGTTACTTCCACGCCATTTTACATCGCAACCATAGATCACGACATAGAAAAATGTCAAATAACACGACATCAATTTATAAAGCGGATAATAGATACACATTCAAATGAAATATAGCAAAATCACTCAAGGAAATGTTAACTAACAATAGAGTATTTAGAATTCACTGAGCATACTACAAACCATAGATAAGTATTAGACGTATAAAACTCCAATCAAGTAGTGTCTAGATTGTATTCAAACAGTTCAACCGTCACTTTTTGTCTATGTGAGTATATAGCGGTACTATTAATAACTGAAACATCTATAATTTCGTTAAAAGAGCGTATAAATAAATGGTTTTGTTGGATTAAATTACCTTTTGTTAATTTGCCAAAAAAAAATTGTAGTTCTTCCAACTCATGGTAGTAGTTGAAATATATCTTACAAGTCATGTGTGTCTATGGACATAAGGACTACTAGCTCTAAACTCAAACAATTTATCGTGGTTAGGTTGACGTTTTAAGAAAGTATTTGAATAAAAATATGTGTAGCTTAAAATTTTGAGTACTTATCCTCTCCGGAACTAAGATCACCCTTTTGAAGCAACATTTAACTGTGTTTTTCTAAAAAGATAGTAATGACAATGTCTGAAGGTCAGCTAAGTACTCTTCAAGAAGAAGCTTTAAAGAGAAAGGAACGATTAAAAGCACTAAAAAGAAAACGAGAAAGTGAAAATAACAATGACAAACAATCAGAAGGACAATTTTTAAATTTACCAAAGTCAGTAATTTACTTCCATTCATTTACAAAGTCCATGTATTGTTTTAAAGTGTGTTTTTCCAATATAGTTTAGAAAACTTAAAGCTAAAACACAGTTATATTTTTACACAAATTTCTTTTCAGGCCGAAATTTAGAAGCTACAAACCTCAAGACGAAGAACTACAAAAAAATGCACTTCCCCTGATAGTTCCTGACTCTGTGGAGGATGAAATTAAAGAACAATTACAGTCTTCAAATGCAAAAGTTGTTATAGATGAACTTGACATTACTAGTTTAGCTCCTAGAAAACCTGACTGGGATTTAAAACGAGATGTGGCAAAAAAATTGGAAAAACTAGAAAGAAGAACTCAAAAAGCTATAGCAGAACTGATAAGAGAACGTTTAAAAAAAAGACAAGCTGATTTAGCAACTATTGCAACTTCAGAACCTGCGCAACCCGAGTAATTTTTGTAGACATAAGAAGTAATATATGTTTTTGTAAGGAATAGTTTTTTTAATAAAGTACCTTTAAATATTTACATTTTTATTACTATATACAAGAACGGTATCTAAACGAGACTTAATTCAAAACGTTCACAGTTTTTGTTTTGTTACATGTTTAATAATAGTAAAATAAGGAAATAAGATGCCTGATGTAATTTGAGCCCTTATTCTATACTAATATTTAGCATTGAGGGTTTCAGAAAGTCATTTATCATTTTCCATTTATTTAGCAAATTTATCTTTTACTAAAAAAGGGTATTCTAGTAGTCAATTCTTTTTGAACCAGTCTAAGCAAATTCGACTTTAGTTTCCCAATTTACAACAATAAAAGGTCTGCTTTACTTATAAACCAGTCTAGACTTTCCTATTTTACTTTACAAGTTTGTTAATTATCTTTAATTTTATTCATTTTCATCCTTGATATGTACAGTTTTACAAGACTTGCTATTTATATATAATATATCTGTTCATATTAACGACAATATAATATGTACATAGATTTAAATACTATTCTAGCAACATTAATGGTAACATTTTATAAACAGATCCTATCTAAATTATACCACTAACAATTCAATAAGCATACATATAATGTATGATATGGCAAATATTTTTTTTTGTTTTCCTTTGAGATCCTTTCTTGGTAATTGTACAGTGGGACTTCCCCTTTGATTTAGGGATAAGGAAGTGTTTTTAAGCGAGGACAGAGACGTCGAAGCATTTAGGGTGAATGTGAAAACTAGAAATGGAAATTATCTTGATGAGCGAATTACCGGGTGGAGGAGATCTACTTTTCTTCCAAATTCAAGAGGGAGTCCAACCATTCGTACAATTACTCCTTTCTTTAACTCTTAACTTTTCTATGAAACAATTCTTGATATTATTACAAACACAGCGAAAACTGCAATCTTGTATATTGAAAAGTTTCGAATTTTAATACCCATTCCATCATTTCTAGGGGTTGCTTTATTGTTTTTTTCCACATCACTGAATAATGTGTTCCATTCTGGAGATATACTTAGTCTTATAGTTCTACCATATAGGGGTTGTACTGGTCGAAAATTGTGTAATAATTTACCATTATGATCGTTTAGCTGTCTAAAATACTGAATCTAAAAAGGGTATTGAATCTTAAAAAAAAAACAAACAAACACCTACTAAATCTGAGAGGGATCATGAAACATGCAGATCAAAGGTAGGAAAGAAATTAACTTAGATTTATGCGAGTCGCAGCCTGTTACAAAATGTAGACATAAAGATTGATAAGTTGTGAAGCAATAAATTATCATTTACAAAAGATTGACGAAGTTAGTGCATACGCATATATTAAAATCGTACAAAGAAGAAACAATTGGTTGCGAAACGTTACAAAAAATAATAGTGTTCTATTAACATAAATTAACACAAATTTTACACGTTTTTACCTACCTGATTATGCGATAAAGGTATCGTTTTTTTAAATTCTATCCACGTGACCACTTCAGAACATGGAGGTGTCGTTAGAGAGCCTCCATATGTAAAATAGGCGTCCCTGTCTGTCAGTGTAAGATCGTCAAAAGTTGGAAAATTTGTTATAATTGTACTTGATTTTGGCTTTTCGACCATTGGTAGCATTTGTACAAACTTGTCGTAAGTGGGATTTGATTGTCTTGATGTCTAAATCCAAAAATTTATTACTAATATCTAATATGATTCTAAATTGTGTTATGGCTATAAAACAAGCAAAAGAAAAAGCTGCACTTGATGTTTATTTATTTATGATTTTCCTTAAGTGTTACGTATTTTGGAAAAAAATTGAAGAAATTCGAAAGAAAAACTTAAATGTAAGCGCGGAACGGGGTGTTGTAAATTGACGTGTGCTGTGTTTTCGCGAAAATGTGTTTTTGCAAAATGATTCAATAATTTCGGCTCCTCTTTATCAATTTTCAAATTCGGATGGGCAAAATTTCGTTCATTACAGTGATTAATTTTAATTTCTATGATATAAAAGCACGACATAAGATTAAATATATGAAATCCTATGACACTGTTAGTTACTTAATAGTGGATTAATATGCAATATTAATTTGAAATCATTTTTTCGATTTTTTATTTACCCACTACAAACAACCTCAAATTAATGAGGGAAAAATTGTTGCTGTTGTCACACTGGGAATCGAACCCGGGACCTTTGGCTTTACGCACCATTGGTATTACGGCATAAGGTGTTGTACAGTGACATGTGTTTTGAGAAAAATATGTTTTTGCGAAACTGAAGAAAATTATTCGTAATTTCGACTTCTTCTTCGAACGAAATTTTGCTTTTTGCAGTGGTTCAAGCCAATTCTAATTTGTATGATATAAAAGCACGTCAAGGTGATATTTTGACGAAAATAGGTTTTTACATAATCTAAGGAAGAGATTCATTATTTTGACTCCTTTGAAATTTGGAAGTTCAAAACTTTGATCTTTGCATGATTCAAGTCAATTTTAGTTTCTATAATATATAAATGCGGCAGTGTCGTGAGGTGGCATTTGTTTTGACGAAAATGGGTTTTTGCAAAATCGAAGATTTATAGGCTTCTTTCAAATTTGGAAGCGCAAAATTTTGCTCATTACTGTGGTTCAAGCCAATTTTAATTTTTAAGATATAATAGCACGTCAGGGTGTTGTAAGGTGATATATGTTCTGACGGAAATAGATTTTCGTGTAATTGAAGAAAGAGATTTTGACTTTAAAATTTGGAAGCTCACTATTTTGCTCTTTGCAGTAGTTCAAGTCAATTTTAGTTTTTACGACATAGAAGCACGGCACAAATGTCGTAAAGTAACATGAGTTTTGAGGAAAATAGGTTTTTGCGAAACTGAAGAAAATGATTCGTAATTTCGACTTCTTCTTAACCATTTTTCAAATTTGAACGAACATAATTTCGCTCTTTACAGTGGTTCACTCAGATTCGGATACAGAAGGTGATGAAAGCGATGCACCTTGCATCGGATCTCCAACTCACGGAGCCTTGCAACTGCCCTCCTGTTATGTTACCATGTATTTCTTGTAAAAATTTAAAATTACGCGTTATATAAGATTTTCAGTTTCATTTTCTTTTTTGAAAACGTATGCATGGAATCCTAAGATTGGCTATATTAATTTGAAATCATTTTATCGATTTTTTATTTACCCACTACACGCTACCTCAAATTAATGAGAGAAAAATTGTTGCTGTTGTCACACCTCCGCCGGGAATCGAACCCGGGACCTTTGGCTTTACGCACCAATGTTATGCATTCTGCCAAAGGTCCAGGGTTCGATTCCCGGCGGGGGTGTGACAACAGCAACAATTTTTCCCTCATTAATTTGAGGTAGTTTATAGTGGGTAAATAAAAATCGAAAAAATGATTTCAAATTAATATTGCATATTAATCCACCATTAAGTAACTAACAATGTCATAGTATTTCTAAGATTGGCTATTGTGTGATTGAGAATAACTACACATGAAGTTAATCGTGCACAAAATTATTCATTTTTAGTCTAATCATCACAATTTCGGCTTTGTTTTATTTTCCATTTTTACCTTTTTAGTTTAATTTACATTGGCATTTTTGCTGCGAAGAATTCTGACTTGCTAAATTTAATCATCTAAAATGTCTTGTACGTGTGCGTATAAAATTGTAATACATTATGCGTACAAATAAGACAATAAATAATTAAACAATCGTGTAATGTAACTCATCCGTCGATTGTTTAAAATTTAAAATGACCTCAAAAAACTTTTTAAAATAAAGAAAAAAAAAACATTTGAACGAAACGAAAAATAACTAAGGAAATTGTTTCACAACGAAAAATAAATTTGTCTAGCGTTTAGGAAATCAAGATGCACATCAAAAAGGCGAAACCAAAATTTTGAGTACACTTAGAAGGTGCTTTATATTTATATTTTTAACTTATAAATTGTTAAGAAATTCTTGACAGCTGTCCTCATCTCAATTTATATAAACACGTGAATTTACGTTCAGGCAAACGAACATGCAGCGTTCCTCTTTATTAGCCATTACTGACGCTAAGGGATCTTTTTTGTATTAGCTAATAATACTTACAGAATATAGAAAAGACAATACAGTTAGACCATCGGGATGTTCAGTGGCTTCCTTAAATGATCCATAAGAAGCTTTAAAAAATACCACGTGTAACTCCATTGGAAAGCTAAAGCAGAACATAAAAAAAAACTTTTTTGGAAATATGAAGATTGGAAAAACTTTGGCGGTTGTTGTAGAACAAACAGAAGACAACTACAGTGTCGTGTTTTGGCGTTGGGGTTTTGAGCTATTCTGTTTGTTCAACTTTTTTGGAGTTTACTAAATTACCTTATACAGGTAAGGCAAAACGTTCACTGAATGTTTTCCCTGTCTGTATTTTTTTTTATGTTGTACTAGCGAAAATACATAATTTGGTGAACGAATGAAACATGTTTTTTCAACTCCGGCTATCTAGGAATATCTCTTACTCTCCTGGACTAACTGAACTCACAAAATCTTTTTAACGCCCCTCAAAGGGTTTGAAATGCATTTGTTGTACTTATACTACTTTATTACTTATAAAGGGTGTCTTAAGATTAATGCAACATGTGAATATGCCACCATTTGTACAGTACAGTGCTGGCAACCCCATAATAAAAGCATTTGGTAGCTGATAGTTTAGGGTTGGTAAAAGTGTAGTGTTCCACGATAGAACAATGTGTTTCTTGAATAATATTTCAAACTTTGCTAATTTTTAATCTATACATCGAAGACGCGATAGATATAGAGGGGCAAGAAACTAGTATCCTTAGATTTGCAGATGATACAGCAGCATCTAGCAAGGAGGAGTTAGAGATAGCTTTAAATAAAATGGAGGAGGTATTGACAAAACATTATTGTATGATAATAAATAAAAGTAAAACAAAAATACTGGTTTGTAAGGGAAGAAAAAGTAAGGAAGGACGAATGTAAAGATGGGAGACGAAAAATTAGAAGAAGTGACTGATTTAAGGTATCTAAAAAGTCAAGACGGAAGCAGTAGAAGGGATATAAAGCAGATGATAGCATGGGCGATTCAGGAAATTTTTGAGACCTTCTTTCCTTGTACGTGTTTTGGCTCGTCTTCGATTTTTGCTTATTCTAATAAACGGATCAAACAATCTGTATCAAATTCTGTGTGAAAAACAAAATTAAGTGCGCCGATGAATTCCGAATGTTGACTGTGGCATATGGTGAAGCTACCTTGGACCGAAGCAACGTTTATCGGTGGTACAAAATGTTCTCAGAAGGCCGAGAAGATGTGAACCACGAAGAACGTTCCGAGCGTACAAACACGTCAACAATAGACGAAAACATTAATGAAGTGAAGAAAATAGTATTGGCCAATCATCGAATCACCGTTAGAGAAGTTGCTGAAGACCTTAAGATATCGATTGACTCTTGCCATTCGATTTTTACTAATGATTTGGACATGAGACGGGTCGCCGCGAAATTCGTATCAAAATTGCTCAGTTTTGACTAAAAACAGCATCCCCATACCTCCTAGGTATTGGACTCAGTCCGCGACGACCCAAATTTGCTCCTGAAGGTCATAACTGGTGACGAATCATGGGTTTATGGTTATGACGTGGAAACCAAAGCTCAATAATCCCAAGGGAAGCTGCCGCACCAGCCAAGACCGAAAAAAGCGCGCCAAGTTAGGTCGAATGTGAAGGTTTTGCTTAGTTTTCTTCGATTACAAACGCCCGGATTTGTGGAAGAACAAAAATTGTCTAATGCCCCTGTTCACACATCTTTGGTTGTACGCGAATTTTTAACCAAAAATAACACACCAAAAATGCCGGAACCACCGTATTCCTGAGCTAATCTTCACATTTCCCTAAAACTAGAACATCCCACATTCTTAACTATTTGCGAACAGTAATGTAATGTAAGTCTTCCTCTACTCCTTTTAACTCCTCTATGTAGTAATGGAGTATCTGATGTTCTGTTCGCAATTCATCTCTAGTATATAAAAAATCATGTCTATTTTAAAATTCTATTTGTGGAAATTAATTAAACAATATCGAGATGTAAAAATTATCGTTACGTCTCTCAAAGAGGAATTTCGTAATACATATTTTGTTTTTAGGCGAAACTTGTTATTATTGGTTAAAAAATCCATTAAACACATCGAAGGACATAAAAATCGTTTAGATTTCAAGTTCATCATCACTGAAGCCATTGGTAGCACCGATAATTGATATACGGGACTGATTTTATAACACGCAAGGCCGATTAGAATCAGACTGTGAACTACATAACGCGGTACACAGTTCGTTATTAACACACCTGAACTTGACCTAGACCTAGACTTTCGACTGTATTGCATTCATCAAGTTGGCTCTTCATTTTGTTTTTTTTTTCACTTACTCAATGTAACCTACTTAGGAATTACACCAGTTATGCCCTTTCAATGCAGATGTTGTTTCAAAATAATAGAAAATCCAACCGTATGTCTGTCATCAAAGATTTCAAACTACTGAACAAAATGAGATAGGTATCAACTTAAAAGTTACGCATAATTATTCTGTAAATCTTAGCTTAGAGACGAAAATCATTATAAAAAATTTGCCCCATACATGGAAACAGAGAGGGAAAATTTGTCTTCCTATGTATTTTTGGCTTAAGGATGTTGAAAAGGTTAAAAATGAAGAGGATTTAGAAAGAGAAAGAGAACACAGAACTTTTAAAGATGGACTCAAGGTAAAAAAAGCTTACGGTGATGATGATGACGATTGGTTTTCCTCAAATGGTCATACACCATTTGGTGGCAACACTTGTAACATGAATGAGGGACTTAAATGAGAATAATGAGCTTTTGACTTTAATTAATAAAAAAACATTATGAAACGAAAATTTACCTTCCATTGTTGATTCTATTTTCCGATCCTTCGGCGTCGTTTTGTCCCCAATGAAAATGTAACTGAGCAAACTGGTATTTTCCAGTCAACGGACCTCCAAGTATTATTGGTAAAGGACCGTGTCTAATAAGCAAAACGACTAAAAAAGAAATAGTCTGAAATCCTAGATTTTGATAACCTCATCTTTAAATTATTCGATGTTTTTTGGAAACTGAATTTCTTAAAATAATGATTCGTTTGTTCGCAACAAAACAAACTAAATTAACTATAATATTTCTTCGTCAGTTTGATTTTTGCATTTTTTTTTATAAATACGGATTAAATTGCATAATGTGCTTGAATACATTTTTTGCTATTACACAGTTCACCGTATGTAAGAAGTAACAGTTTGTAGAGCAAATATAGAAATAAGAGAATGGACTTCAAATAGTAAAAAACCAAGACAAGAAAAAATTTTTAAGAAGTACACAATGAGATCATTTACACGTGATCATCACGTCATTAAGATAAGTCAGTAAAAAAAAACACTAATAGGTAAAACCCAAAACTCCAACAAAATGATTGCTACTGTTTATAAGCAAAAAATCTACTACTTCTTTCTAGTTAAGTAAATAACATTTAATTTGGATAAATCAACTGTTTACGGGTAGCCAACTATTTTATCATTTTGCTACTGAATTACTAATTATAAAAAGTGACCATTTGGGAACATTATTTACAATAATTCTTAAATCATTCAATCGATTTAGTCATTTGGTTGATTCAGATCTTCCTGTGTTGGGATTTTATTCTCTACAACTTTGTTGATGTGCATCACCTTTATCTAACACAATAAATTTCGAAATAAAGAAAAACATATGGAAGACTATTTCTACTAGCCACACCCCCTCCCCCTACCCTGATAAGAATCATCTGATGATATTCTACTAGCCACCCCCCCACCCCCCGATAAAAATCATCTGATGATAATCTTAAAAGAACTGTATCCTTGACTGTATGCTATTTATTGAAATTGCTTAAAGTTAAATGATAAAAAAAAGACGAAATCGAATAAAAGTGTCATAAATAGTTTATGCCTACATACTTATCATACATCACTTGCAAGAGTTACGACAACAATTTTATAACTGGCACAACTATTCACTTAATGGTCAGAACATGGTATAACTTTTTGTTCTAAATTCATACAAGTACTTAATATAGGTATACGTATGTATCTCACATTGTTCAACAATGACGCGGTGAAAATTGTAATAAAGTTTATTGTTTCGTTTAGAATGCCTTCTTATAGTTATATTAAGAATTTATTCCTAGAAAAAAAATGGTGCTTATGTTTATGTACTCTGTATGCAATCAAACGTTGGAGGTATTGGCTAGAAGCTTAAAAGAGACATTGTTCTATCTAACGCATTCTAATATTTTAAGGATGTTTGGGAGGTATGTCAAAATGCTACGAGACAAATAAAAATTTGGAAGAACGTTCCTCATTCAATTCTAACACTCCTGTAAAAATTACAAATCGATTCACTAAACCGTTAAAAAGTTATTGAAATTTTAAAAAATTGTAATTTTACACGTCATTTTATGGAGATTCGTTAACCGAACAGATTAAATTTATTTTTATTAACAGAAAAAAAGCTACCAGAAATTTCAAACTTTTATAATAAGTAACTTGAACTCTGGAGAATCACTTTAGCGTAAGATTATTCAAATTCACTAAATGGTGGGAATCAAGGAAAAAATGAAAAATTAGCTGAAAATCTCGTTTCTATAGAATATTAATGCATTGGGTAACTCTAAAGTGAGATTCTTATTTGCGATAAAAGATAAGTGGAAGATGAGTATTTTTTTTGGTGATTTTATCAATTTATTTCACGCTCAGAAGAAGACCAAAAATAAAATTTTTGGGCATTAGAGGTTAGGATATTTCAAAATCTATCTCCGGTTTTAGCTTCCTAATCCGCATTAACCTGTATACCCTGTGGTGGGCGGAATCCCTTTTTTATCGTCTATTCACGGTTGTGACACCTGACAAAAGAATTATTCTTCATTTCTTAAATTGGGGCCTTAGGCCTCCAAGACGTAAATATAGAAAACAGATACATACGTAGGTAATGGGAATATAATAATGGGAATATTCCACATGCTCCTTACAAATTTATAAGAAAACTTCTTTCAGTTATTGACAAAACGTAAACAAACTCGAATCAAATAAAAATCAAAGAAATTATTTCGTGCTTCCAGCGGTAGGTAAATGTTTAATGACGTTGGCACTCAATAAACGAATTAATGACAGGTCCTTGAAGAAAATAAAAAAAAATCGTGTATTACCTGTATGCCCATTATTATGTAATTCGACTTCTTCAATTTTCAAATCAAAATTGACAAACCGAAGTTTAGGTAACTCAACGATTTCAACGTCATGTTCCACAATATTTATAGGACTTTGATGTTTTCCTACACATTGGTGATACCATTCACCCCAGTGATTTGGTCCTTAAAATATATCGTGGGATCAGATTGTACATTGTACCTCAGCTTTGATTTCATTAACAGAATCAGTCTGATTATGCACTTTTTAGACAAATATTTCGTTTACTTTCTGTAGCGATGTGACCTTCAGTTTGACCGGCGCAGAGTAGAAAGGAACAGCACTAGGCCAGAAAAGGAAGGAGACAACTCTCGGCCAAACTCTTAACCGGTGAGGAGCGTATAATCCGTACAGTACTGCACGGAAAAATTGACCATTTTATCCACTACAATTGCATTGCTCAAATGTGCTGTTATTGGTACCATTTACGACTGAAAATATCAACGAGATGTTTATTTATATTTGAAGGCATATTAAAGACTTTAACGCTTGTTTTCGACTCGCACTACTATTCATGATTGAACAAAACTTTTGGCAGGTACTGTATGAAAAAGTATGTTTAATGAACAAGAGTCGAGAGTATAATGAGCTTTTTTCTCCCTACCTACGATTTTGCCAGCGCATATCGAAGACATTGGAAGGGGCACATCGCTACAGAAAGTAAATGAAGTATAACAAAACACTGAAATATAAACATATCTTTCTTACCCATACTTCCCTCATAACTGAACTCTTGAGCGAAATCTGTAACAAAAAACAGAGTCAAAAGACGATCAAGGCTCTTAATTCCAATTAATGTGAAGGGATTAAAAAAGTTAATGAAAAATCTCACATTCGCAAATGATCTCACAACAACATGTACCTAATAAAAGTTTCTCCTTTAATTTAGTAAATCAATCATGTTGAAAATTGTGAAAGTCTCCAAAAATGCTATTTACGATAAAAGGAATTATTGAAAAAAGTTAGTGTAATGGATTATTCACCAACACAAGCATGAAAATGACGTAAAAACTGGCGCTGTCGCGTTGTTCTGATAGTGCCTACCTAAAAGATTGTATAAATCAATATATGATAGATTTCTACGTTAATTTATTAGTTGTAATGGAAATTGAAATTGAAAAAGTCAAAGTAATCAACTGCGAAAAATGATGAAAAAATGATGACGGAGGAACATAGTAGAATGTAGGTACATAAGGTAAATCCTTTTTCTTTGAAATATGTAGTCATTGCTATTTACAAGATGTAGGCACATTCCACTAAGTTCTTTTAAGTTTATTTTTCACACAGTCGGGTTTTTTGACTTTTTTAAACTTAAAGTTTTATTCACGACATTTTCGGTTTTTAATTTATCAATATATTGTTTGTTCCTATCTATAAATACTGTCTTGATGGGACCTATAAATCTCTATGTATATACATTTATTTAAGTCGTCTTGATTTTGAAGGCCTCTTCAGTGATATTTCACTTAATATGGTCGCAGTTTCTCCACCATTTTGTATTCTACAACCGCCATTTTGGTGTTTTAAAAACAAAATCTAGCCCAGTTTACCCATCGCACAGTCCATCATCAAGAAACAATCTCAATAATGAGTAAACTTTCGATTTGTTGTGGATGCTACGTGTTAAAAATTCGTAATACGTAGCATAAAGAAGAAGAAATAATTCATTGATAGCAAATGTTTCACATTACAACAGTTTTTTAGGTCGAAGACAAATGTATACCTATATCACGATAACATTCTAGATTCACATGGGATGATAAAAACCAACAATTTAAAAAAAGCAGATAGAATCACCATCAAAATTTAAAAAATTCAAAATTGTAAAGTCGAAACAATTTTTTAGTTTCTACTCATATAAGAAATGCCGGATTTGACGATAGGCCCACACCTAGACCAGCATTAGGAAACCAAACATAGGTTTGTCAATATTGAACCAAGGTTGGGTCAATTTTCAAATGCCTAGGCTAGGCACATTGACGTTTCGCCAAGTTTAGTTTAATACTAAGACACCAAAGCATTGGTTTCTCATTCTGGTCTTGTAATGATTTTCTACATGTAAAGTATAGCAAATTCACTAAGAAGATATTAAAATGCTAACAAAAAAAACATGACAATTTATGAAAAACCCTAAAAAGAATATTTTTGAAAAATATAAAAATTTTACCATACACGTCGTATTTTGGATTTAATAAAAGATATTAAACAGAAATACCGAAAAACTTAATGTGTTATATTATGAAGAAAAACATTTTGAATTTCTCATCTGGAATTCAATTAGACGATTTAAAAAAAAGGCCTAAAAGAGGTTACTGTATTGTATTGTTACTTATAAATTTACGTGGAAGTCTTTTAGACTCCACTGAGATAACCCATTATAGGTACAGATCTTTTCAGTAATGAAACTGAAGCTTAACTTACACTATCAACTAAAATCTGTCAATTTGTAATTATTTAATAGAAAAATAAATATTATTTTGCTTTCCCATATCATAAAGTCGTCAGTCCTAAGACTGGTTGAACACGCACCTCCACTCTTTCTTATCCTTAACTATTTGCAAACAGTAATCTAATATAGGTCTACCTCTACCCCTCCTAACATCCGTTTGTGCCTCTACTATGTCTCTGACCAGACCTTCATACCTGAGGTGTCCTTCTAACCTATCTCACCTATTTCTAATTGACTTCCATAGAGTCCTCTGTTCTCTTATTTTTTCTAATATCTCTCCATTTCTAACCTTCTCTATCCACGGTATCCTCATCATTCGCCTATAACACCACATTTCGAACGCTTCTAACTTTTTCTTTTCCGCCGCGCCCACCGTTCACGTTTCGCATCCATACAGCGCCTCGCTCCAAACATTCACCTTTCACAATCTTTTTCTAATTTCTAAATTAACCGTTCGCGAGCATAGAAGTGGCTTCTTTTTATTGAAGGCGACTCGACCGTGCGCTATCCTCTGCTTTATATCCCTACTTCTTCCGTCCTGACTTATCTGACTTCCTAGATACCTAAAATCAGCCACTTCTTCTAATTTTTCGTCTCCTATCTTTATATTCGCTCTTTCCTTACTATTTTCTCCCTTACAAACCAGAATTTTGTTTTACTTTTATTTATATTCATACATTACTGTTTTGTCAATACCGCTTCCATTTTATTTAAAGCTATCTTTAACTCCTCCTTGCTAGATACTAATACTTATGACAAAATATCATTCTTCTTAGGTATGTCAATTTTGAAAAATAAATAAATCTTTATCAAACGCTATAAATAAAATCTAGGTCTGTCGTTAGTAATTGAGAGAAATGTATAATATGTTAAAAGATATACGAGTGATGAATTACATTCCAATGCCCGTACTTTTCCGTACATTTTACCATTTTATCAAGATCATTATAATAATGCAATTCATTCTTGTTGATGTCACAGAAGTGCCCAATGGCACGAACAAGTGAAAGTTTGGATAATAACGCTGACAATATCGGCTCAGCATCACGAATTTAAATTCCAATGATGAAAACAACGAGTGAAATGATTTTACTTTCAAAATCATGTAAGCAGAAACAAAAAGCACGTTCTATAACTAAACCAGAAAGAAAATTGAAAGCTGTTTCGTTTTTTTTTTTTGCTGAAGCGATTCCGATATTTTAATTATTATTCCTGGAAAGTCGACATCAAGATTTCTCTAAATAATGAGAAGAAAAACCAATAAAATTACGTTGGAAATGGTCACATGTCATAGGTAGATTTTATAAAAGTAAAAACATTTCATCATCATCATTATAAGGTCGTCAGTCCTAAGACTAGTTGGAAACGCACCTCCACTTTTATCCTGTGCTAATCTTCGCATATCCCTAAAGCTAGAGCAACCCATATTCTTAACTATTTGCGAACAGTAATCTAATCTAGGTCTACCTCTACCCCTCCTAACTTCCGTTTCTGCCTCTAAGCCTGCTTTCACACAGACGGTTTTTTGCCGTGGCCGTTCACGGCAACCGTGCCGTGTATAACAGTAATACATTGGTTTATATGCAAGCGTTCACACAGCACGGTTTGCTGCCGTAGCCGTGCACGGCTGCCGTCGCAGCACGGCATGGGGACTGCAACGGCACGGCGCCGTGGCCGTGCACGGCAACAGTGAGACAAGCAAGTGTATAGAAGTATTCACACGTGCCGTGTGTTCACACGGCAAAAATTGTTTTCAGGATCGTTTTTCTCTCTGAATTGTGCAGTTAACAGAAGAAATTATATAGTGTGGCGGATAATAACACCGCTATATTTAATTTAAAACATATATTTGACTAAACATTATATTACACCCTTTTGTAAATATTTCTACTCGAATTCTTTTGTATCTGTCTTTCTATTATTATTATTATTCTCTGTGAAAATATTTGGAACAGTGTCTTTATCAAGGTAAAAATCTTACTCCAAGCATCGGTAGAGATTATATAATTAAGAAAAATTTACCTCCTTTCTTAATAATATATCATTGGGGAAGATAATACAAAGGATATATTGAATATGAGCATTTAAATTTTCTCGGATATTTTTGAAGAAACAAGGTTTTGTACAGATATATATTACAATCTTCTTTTATCTCTTATAAGCTAGACAGTGAAAACTTTAATAATTTGATTTCTTTTGGTATCAAAGCGTTACATAACAGAAAGGAAAACCTTTTTCTATTTCTGATAGATTGTTTTCTGATTGATACTCAATTTTTTTTTATTTCCCTCTTGATATTAAATAAAGCGTAATCATTGTCAATTAATTTTGATGACTATTACTAATTTTTAAATCATCTTGCAATTTTACGCATAATTCATCGAAACTCCTAATGGACATTCGAAAATAATTAAAAAATTTGGAGCTATCCTCTCGTAGCTCATGAAATAATGTTACAAGTTCACCCATCAATTGTCTGTTTTCAAGTAGTGGATGAATCCAAAATCTTCTTGTTTTTTGTGTTTTTCTGCGATTATGCCATATCATTAGTAACAACATGCGTTTTTTTCTTTCGTCCATTTTGGTCATGTATCAAAACAAAACTAAACCGTGAAAAACCGTGTGCAGTGTGAACGCAAAGCAAAATGAAATTACGGCACGGCACGGCACGGTTGCCGTTAGAAAACCGTCTGTGTGAAAGCAGGGTAATATGTCTCTGACTAGACCTTCATGCCTGAGGTGTCCTGCTGACCTACCTCGCCTATTTCTTATTGATTTCTATAGAATCCTCTATTCTCTTCCTCTTTTTAATACCTCTTTATTTCTAACCTTCTCTATTCACGGTATCCTCATCATTCCGCTAACACCACATTTCGAACGCTTCTAAACTTTTCTTTTCCGCCGCGGCCACTGTCCATGTTTCGCACCCGTACAGCGCCGTGCTCCAAACATACGCCTTTAAAAACTTTCTTTGAACTTTCAGATTACCCGTTCGGGAGCATAGAAGTGACTTCTTTTGATAAAATGCGACTCGATCCTGCGCTATCCTCTGCTTTATATCCCCAGAACTCCTTCCGGCCTGACTTATCTGACATCCTAGATATCTAAATTCGGCCACTTCTTCTAAGTTTTCGTCTCCTATCTTTATATTCGCTTTTTCCCTACTTTTTCTAACATAAGATTTTTGATTAAGATAAATTAATTTTGATGTAATAGTTTTTAATCTTACTTTCCATAAATTTTATTAGGAAACTACTGATTACTACATTATTCTGATTAAATTATTTGGTTAGAT